AACTTATAGTCCTTCATCATCCCAGAATGCTTTGCATCTCCTGGCAGGGTGAGCAGGCTAGCCTTGGTTCTAGCTGTCTGCTGCAACTGAGCAGGGAGGTGTGCTCTATCACCCCCTGGCTTTTGGAATCAAAAGTGAATGTCTGTTCACTTGCTTATTGGTTAAAACTACACATCTTAAACTAACCTGTGAAGATTGAATCACTTCAGCCTCTGGCTTTTTGCCTGTCTGTACTTAGCCAATGAATATAGCATGTGTGGTGTCATGTAATTGACCTGAATCAAAGCTGCAGTGAGCCCAGTAGCAAAGTAGGACAATAAGTTACCTGGGTCTGGTAAAGTATTTTTACTTTCCTTGAAGCACAGTGATTTTATAACATAATTCAGAAAACTCAAAGACATTCAAAACAGTACATTCAAGTAAGTAATGTCTACAGTAGCTTAAGTTAGACAGATAAATGGCAAACAAGAGGAGAAATGAATTTTTAAGACTCAGGTAGAGCTCAAAAAGGCTCAGAAAGAAGGAGATGAAACAGTACAGAGAGTGGAGGAGCATATCATGTGCACAGAGGCATAACTAGAAAGAAGTTACAGAAATAGAACCCTACCACAGTCACAAGTCAGGCATTTTCTGCAAAAAATGGCATTGTTTCTTTCACAAATAACCAGCACCAACAGCAGCAAGGAGCAGCAGACAGCCCAGATTTATCTTAGTCAGCTCTCTTCATTGATCTCGTCCCTCCCTCCAGTTAGCTGAGCCAATATTGTGTAAATGTTTGGGTGGCATAAATCCGTCCCCAGAGCACAGTACTTGATAATTTATTCCTGTCAGCTGCATATATTTGCATGCATGCGAAAATAAATGTTTGTTTTAGAAAATAGCCAGTGATACTCATGTGCCCACCAAGTCAGTGCATCACAGTTGCTTGTCTTTCTGAAGTAGGATTCACTGAACATCACATTTAGGGAACCTAATGTCCTCAGTAGAGATGAGCATGCACAAAAGATTAAAATGAGATTGTAAGGAGGAAATATGTATGTATTTGTTTATGTACTAGATTTATATGCCTCTCCTTTCAAACAAAGGCTCAAGGTGGCACTGAAGAAAATAACTTATAAATCAAGTGAACAAGAAAGCAAAATGGGAGACACAAAAATACTTATAAAAACAAACAGAGTATTAAAATATAGAGCAAACCAGTGTTTGTTAACCAGGGTGACACACAGCATATAGATAAAGTGATGCCTATGTCTACTTCTTTAGAAACTGCTCCTGCTGCTGCCCCCTGGCACCCCTGTGCTGGCTGCTCTCATGCTTTGAGCAATGTGCTCTGTTATGGGCAAATTTGGGGCCACAGAGCTTCACTTTTTAGCCCAGTCCATTCTCCTGTGCTCCCAGAGAGGGCAGGAGGGGTTGCAGGAGCAGGTGGCTCTGATCATTGGTGTACGGGACCCTGGAGGAGCAGTCTCAGTGGTGAGGGCTGCTCTTGGCCTTTTTTGGTACTGACCAGGGCGGGAATAGGACAGATAGTAGAAAGAGTGGGCCATAATGGGGTGAGGTCCTGTCTCTGCTTCCCTCACCTAGCAGTCCTTAGATGAATGATTCTCAATCTTTTTAACCTCAAAGCAACCCTACATAACTTTTATGGATTTAGATTCTAACTCAGTGATTCTCAATCCAGGGTGCTGCTAAATTCAGGAAAGTTACAGAGAGGTATACCTTTAGGCTAAAAAGGTTGAGAACCACTGCTCTAAATAATATCTCATCTTAGTGTTAAGATGCTAAATGGATGCTTGGATAAGAAAGTTTTACAGCACTTCCAGAAGATGTCCAGGCTCAAGCTGGGGTGGACTTCCAACAGGGAGGGAGTTCCAGAGCTGAGAGGTGACTACCAAGAATGACCTCTCAAGTGTCTTTGCGTAACAAACTTAGTGCTTTGATGGTACTTGCAGATTGCTCTTGGCTGACCTTAGGGATTGCAATGGTGTGTAAAGGAAAAGATAGTTTCTTAAATGCATAGGGCCAGACCATTTAGGGCCTTCGAGTTCAAAACCAGCACCAAATTGTTCTGTGAAAGCTATTGGGAGCCAGTGCAGACTCTGGAGCACAAGTGTTATGGGCTGCTGGCCACCTACCCCCTTTAAAGGGTGTATCACCATCTTCTACACCAGCTGCAACTTCCAGATGGTCATTGAGGACAGCCCCACATAGAGCATATTGCAGAAGTTCTATGTGGTACTTGGGTAAAACAGGTATTTTAGCTCTTAATAGTGTCTTCTTTACCCATTTATGCAGAATTACTAAATGAGTGTACAGATAGCAAATAATTCCAAATAATTAGGCATCATTTTTATATTGAGAATTATACTGTTTTGTTTACCCCAGGGAGAGAATATAGCATTAGTAATCAGGCCACCTGTATCGACTTACCAGTGTTGTCAGACTGCATCATTCTTTTCAGTGTCTGTAGTTTCTTTTCTTTTGCTATAGATCCCCTGCTGAAGCTGATGTTTATGGTGTTGATGAAGTCCATTTTATTCCCTTTAATGTTCATTAAAACAAAGAGCTTGATGCCTAGTTCAGAGTGCAGAAGCCATATTTGTTTTTCCCCAAGGGCTGTGGATAGCAGATGTTGGAATTCTGATGTTAAAAACACTGAAGCATTTGTACTAGCCTTTTATTAAAGTGGCTGTAAAATTCTTTAATTAGTATTTTTTTAAAGACTTAATTATGTTGAGGCAATTTCTGGGGTATATATATGAAATAGCAACGAGTTACCAAAGAGGAGAGAGCAGTAGTTTACATTTAGAATGACATATTATAAAACAAACTTAAGGGGAGAAAGTTTCTGGTGACTTTTAAATTTAAAAATGTAGTCTAGTTGTATCACCCTGAACCAAGGCCTTTTGTCAAGACTTGAAAAAAATCTATGGTTCTTGTATGTTAATAAATAATGCAAAGTAGCAAAACCCAATCTCTATTGTAATGTATGCTATAGCATCACTGATAGCCAGATATTTGCAGAGGTATGGGAAGTTTTCATAATGAAGGGGATATGAAGGGGCTTCCATGTGAGGAAAAACTGAAGAGCCTAGGTCTATTCAGTTTTGAAAAGAGATGCCCGAGAGGGGACATGAAATGTTTACAAAATCATAAACAATGAAGAGAAAGTAAATAGGGATTTGTTATTTACTCTCTCTCACAATACAAGAACTAGGCATCATAAAATTAAACTAGTAGGTAGTAAATTTAAAACTAACAAAAAAGTTATTTTTCACACAGCATGTGTGAAAATGTTATTTGTGACGTGTGACATTGTGACATTGTGACAAATGTTATGTGTGAAAAAAGTTATTTTTCACACAGCATGTAATTCAAATGTAGACCTTGTTGCTACAGGATGTTGTGGAGGCTGACAGTTAAGCTCAGTGGTGCTCGGAGCCAATCCTTGGGCTGGATTGAGCCCCTCAAGCCAGAGTTGAGCCCTGGGAGCCTGGCGCTGCCCCTTCCTGACCCCACCAGACCAGGATTGGGCCCTGGGGGCCTGGCGCTGCCCCCACATACTGGGATTGGGCCTTGGGGCCCAGCCCTGCTGCATCCTGACCCTGCATACTGGGATCAGGTGCCTTATCCAGTACACAGAGCCCAGGGCTCCTCAAGGATCTGGGAATTTGGTATCAGGGAAGTAGTGCTCCCCCATTAACACATTTCTGGATTCATGGGAAGCCCTGTGGGCTGGATAACAGTGCCATAGGTCAGATATGGGTCACAAGCTGGGGTTTGAGCTTCCCTGATTTAGCCAGATTGAAAAAGGGATTAGAGAAATTCTTGGAGGAAAGGTGCATCGGTAGCTGTTGAGCATGAGAGATGGGGACACAGACTCCAAATTGCAGCTTCCTAGACCCTAAATTCTGGAGGCTGCAAGTGAGAGAAGAACAGGGGGAAAAACCCCTGGTCTTACCCTGTTCACTGTCCCTTTCAGAATCTACTCTGCCCCTGCATGATGCAGGACACCGGTCAAGATAGACCTACATGCTGACCCAGGAAATGGCAGTTCTTATATGCTCTTAACGAGGATTAATATTAACTCAGTTTGAGGACGAGGCACAGCTGAGAGACAGAAGAAGTGAGGCGTATTACATCTGAAACAAGGAGTATTTAAAAGAGAAAGATCTGTTTTTATAGTGGGTCTTTATATAATGTGTATTCAGGATTCCCATTTTCTCTCCTCCTTCATTGTGGGGAATCTTCTTTCCCACCAGCCCAGCATAAATTAGAAATAACGCCACTGAAGTCAGTGGAATTATATAGCTGTTATAGAAATCAGAATCTGGCTCTTTTATGCCTACCTTGTGCCTATGGGAGGCCAAGAAGAAAAAGGCCAGTATTCCTTGGTAGCAATCTAAGTATGCATTTGCAAGTCTTAATCACCTAACTTATTGCCATTTACATGAAAAGCAATTTTCAGCATGATGAATATAATAATATACCAAACATCATTAAGCTTATGGGCCAGATCCTCAGTCTGTGTACATTTCTGTTGACTTAGTTTCTTTATTGACTTTGAGCTACTCAGTTTACACAAGCTGAAAATCCAACAGTATATTCAGAATGGGTTATTTCCCAGTATGCATGCTGTTTTGGGATCCAGTGACTTCTAGAAAATTTGTGTATCTGATCTGAGTTTATAAAACCAATTTCTACATTGCACTTAAATATCTTAAAAACTATAGGTATGCAGATATTATCAGTTGGGTTTGTTTCAGAGTTCCTTTGTTTTATAGTCACCATATACCATATTTTCAGTATCCTGGGACTTAACAACAACAGAATAAATGGTTTAGCATTTAGCTGGACCCATTAGTCCTAGGTCGCAAAAAAAATTAAATCCAGAGTAACTAACTGCCAGAGATTCTTGTTCATAAATTGATATAGATTGTTAGAAAACTGAAAACATTCAAAGTCCAGCAACCTAATTGTAAGGTCCTACTGTTTTCCAGGAGCACAGCGCTATGCAGAAGTTGCACTGCACACAAATTGACAAAATAGTGGCACAGTATGATAAAGAAAAGTTATCTTACGAGAAAATGTTAGAGAAGGCAATCAAGAAGAAGGGGTAAGATATCATTTTTAAAATATTTTATGAGAATCAAATAGGTTTTATGCTTTTAATATCTGAAACAACATATTCATGAGAAAGTCATTTACATTTTAAATTGCTGTAGCACAGCCTTGTACTCCTTGGTCAATATAAATTTAATTTGCATGGGTACTCTAGGATTGAACACTAAATGCTGTACATGCTTTGGTTTATTGAATCCTTCTGTTTTCTGAGCATGTGACATATAGAAACAAATTCATTGCATCAGGTTGTCATTTTGCTTTCATCTGATCCTGCTCCCACTGAGATCAAGGGGAGTTTCATCATTGGTTTTAATGAGAGCGGGCTCAGGTCCTCCATGATTCTGACAATCCAAACTCAGAAACTGTGGTCTTATAAAAGCATGCTTTGTAAATCTTGACATGTGTAGAATGGAATTCTAACCAAATAGCAGCTTCTGCTTTATTGTCACCCAGAAGAAGTTACCTTTTGATATTGGAACTATAAATATGCTTTCAGATCCTCAGCTGGTATAAATTGTTATAGCTCCTTTGACTGCACTGAACCGATCTCAGTTTCAGCTAGCTGAGGCTCTGGCCCATTATCTATATGCTACACACAAGTTAGTGGTTATTCATGGTCGCAGTTAACAAATGCTTATTTTTTAACAACTTGTCTTCTGTTTTGCCCCTCTTGCCCCAACAGTGCATTTGAGTTTATATTTAAACTTAAAGGGAAAATGTACTTAAGCGCCTGCATTTAACCTGTGAACTTCTAGAAGCAGTAAGGAGTTTTCTTAGTAGAAAGTGCAATTATGCAAGCAGATAGCGTTGCAAAGTACAAAGATATCCCTAACCCTGGAATTATTTTACTCTTAACTTCCAACTAGTTTAATAAAATTAAATAATTGATGCTAGAAGTTTTGTAACAGAGCTATGTGGTGGGTCTCCTATACATGTGCAGGGAGGCTGCTGCAACACTCTGCAATTACAGCACATTGGATCAGACTCAGTTAATCAAGTCTGCTGGAGCATGGTAATTACTGTGATCCAGTAAACTCCAGCATCACATGTATCAGTGTCCCCACCCTGAAAAATGGCGTTGGGCACTTAAAAATAAAGCTCGTTCAACAAGCTTTGGTTCAAAGTACCCTGCTGCCATTTTTCAGTGTGGGGGCGGTGATGCATGTGACACTCCAGGCGTTTTAAATAGCACGATTCTTGGAGCTGCACTAATTAAAGCACCCCTCCCCCCTGCCTCCCAGAGCACGTCTGTAAACACCTGCTGGGTCCAGTCCATGATGGAATTATTTAGTATATTCAACTCAAGTACCTTTTTGGCAGTGGATTCTTTCATAAATACTGTGTGTGTTGTATTTCATCTATTTTTTAGTTAATAGTATTTTTAAATAATTACACGTAACCAAACTGATGCGTACTATATGCACACTAAAACAGAAGGCAGGGCAGGATGGCACCTTAGAAACTAGCTGGCTCAAAGAAGCATAAGCTTTCATAGGCAACAGCCTATTTCATAAGATGCTAGGCAGGTTCACAGTATCTGATAAAGTAAGCTGTGACGTGTGAAAGCTTATGCCTTGCTTCAAGCTATCACAGTTAACTACCTCTCACAGAAAATAACAACAGTATCTGAAGCAACTGACATAATCAAAACAGAGGAGAACTCTTGTTATGAAAAGGCAACATGAAGTATCACAGAATATAGTTCATACAGAATATGAAAATAATAGTTACCCCCTAACTGCCAATGGATAAGTGTTCTTATCCTGTATATATTACACACACACACTTTCACTCAAACTGTAGAATAGCCATCAGGTGATTGATAGCTTTGGGGCCTATAAGATGTGCTATAGAGTCAGGCTGGTCAAAATGTAAATTAATTCTTTTTGCCAGATGCTCTTTTAATTACACATGTAAGATCTGTCTGTCTGTTTGTCTATCTAGCTATAAGAGAATTTACAGATTAAAAACTTAGATACATTTTCCCAGCATGTGTGTATATGTACACTGAAATTGATATGTATGATTTGTATATGATATGTGTGTGTGTGTGTGTTTGTGTGTATGCATATGCCATATTTTTCTCACAGACCACATGCCCCCAAATAAATAATGTACCTTATTTTTTGGAAGGAAGAATGAAGAAAAAAAATACTCCAGCATTATGGTTACATAAAGCAGGTGCAGAGCCTATTTTTTAGTGCATTCGCCCTCTCTTTTCTGCTCAAACAAAAGCTGCAGCTTTAGCTGGGCTGAAGACTGGTCTCCCTGAGTAAGCCTATGAATTTGAAAAGAACTAAAAACAGTTCATAGGGCTGTTCAAAAACAAGAGACAGACCAGGAGTAGCTAGTAGACAGACAAATTGTCAGAAGAGAGGTTAGCTTGATTAGTGGAACATCAATACCATTAAAAAAAAGAGATGGTTGTTAACACATTGAGTGAAAAACCATGAGCCATTAAGCCAATTGACTCCAAGCTGCCTGAATAGAAAGGCTACTGCTACTGCCTGATGGAGAAGGAATCAAAGTAGGATGCTTCTATTCCAGGCAGCAAATCAGTCTCCCCACTTAAGACATGCACCCCAATTTTGGGGTGCTGATTTCTGGGAAAAAGGTATGCATGCTTTGTGAATAAATATGGTATATATACACACTGGGTGTGTCTACATGTGCATTTACACCAACTTAAATTTACTGCACAGTGGGTTACTGCGCAATAAGTGGAAGTAGGCCAGTGTCAGCACACGCAGGCATTAAGGTGCATTAACACTGTGTGTATACAGACTTGGAACTAAAGTAAGTCCCAAGTCAGTCCACATACAGTGTTACTGCACAGTAAGACATCTACACATGCGTTACTGTGCAGTAACTAATCGGGCATAAATATGATACCTGCATGACGCAAGTATCAAATTTATGCTCAAGTCCACATAAATCATCATATTTACTGCTCAGTATGGGTGTGCATGTGTAGACATGCACCTATACTGCAATCATTTTGGTTACTGTGCAGTAAATGTGCATGTGTAGATGCACCCACTGAAATTGCAATTTCAGAGGGTATCCTTTGCATTTGTACCAGACAGGACCAGATTCCAAAAGGGGGAGATTCTGGATTACCCATATTCAGCAAGTTACTTAAGCCCATGTTTAAATTGATCCTGCTCCACAGTACATTTAAGAATATGCTCCAGATCTGGCATATTGGATGAGACTTAAATATGTGCCTATCTTTATGAATGCACCTAAGTGCTTTGCTGACTAGGGAGAGAGTTACTGAATAAGCAGTGCACTTCCCAAGATAAATTAAAAAACTAAAATTAAGTAGTTGGGATTGAAATTTGCAGGATACTTCATCATAGAAGGTCTTTTTGGTAGATAGACCAGAAATGATCTTATTTCTGGTTTTGTTGTGCAGCTTTTTATTTTGGGTATCTCCCACATGACCTGTCAAACATGTCAGCTACATAATTTTGAGCAAAATAAAATTTTTAATTACAGTACACATTAATGCACTGACAGATGGACAAAGTATCGCTCCCTGTGCACTCAAGTAAGTTGTTCTGATGTACAATACAAATGCTGCACATGCGTATAATTCTCACTGAGACACCAGGGAGTTTATTATGCTCCAGTTCCCCCTCTGAAATCTGGCTGAAGGGTAACCAAGAATGATTCTGATTTTGGAGATGTCTGATATCTGTATTGTAGCATGTGTATGCTCCCAGTTGTAGCATGAGGTGGAGCTGTTGCCAGGGAACTCATTCACAGTTGGAACTTCCAGCTTAAAACCTTATATACATTTTGCCAGGATATTCATACCTGACTCTAGTTATGCTCAAGCAACTTTGGGTTTCCTTCACCCCAGATTGGATGGTACATCGAATAAAACAGGAATAAACGTTTGGTACCAGTTTGGGGAAATTGTCCTGATTGGTTGAGGGGGAGGGGGTTATGCAGGCTGCATTTTGAGATAAAATGTGTTGGATTCCCTTAAGTGAAGATCATATTCATAAAACACAGCAGGCTATGTTACAGCCAGACTATGATTTCAGTTACACCCATCTAAAACCAAAATAACCAGTGTGGTCAAGGTAGTATGTCTAACTGGGACTGATGTACTGTGTTTGGAATCTACCTTTGTAATACTGTTTGAAATGTCAAACTGGTGGCAGAAATCTCTGCACAATCTTCCTTGCTGTGATGGGAAAATCAGCGATTGGTCCTCGCAGTGACCCACAAGGAACACAAAGCACAGTACATTACTGGTATTTTGAAAAAGAACTTTACTGATAACATTTAATGAGAAAGCATTCTGTTGATTTCCATAAGTTAGAAGTATTTAAACTGGTTATAGTTTTCTAAAACTCCATTTCCAAGAGTGTGATGTAGTTTAATATCACTGCAGTCAAGCAATAAACAGTTTTATTGGGGCACATTATCAATGGGAGCAAATAAATTTAATTCCACTGAACTCAGTGCTGTTATATTGATTTAATACTGGTAGAGGATTGGGTTCAGAGTCTATTGTCTTAAAGAGGCTGTGGGAGAAGTAAAATAAAACTCTGCTACATTAAAATACTGATTGGTTACAATGCCAACCTAAAAAGGCAGGCAAGTGTGGTATGTGAGTTTGCATATTGTTTTAACAGTCTTTCACAGAACGGGGGAGGGACACAACAGGGGGTTAAGGATGACTTGTCAACATTTGAGAATTTGCTGACTCTTGTCAGAGTTTTAACTGTATGCTGCTACCCTTCCATATGTAAAATCCCAGCAGTGACCTTTTGTGAAGGAAATTGCGGAGTAAGGTAGCTTTGCAGCCACTCACATCCAGCTTATGGGCTTGAATGGTGGCTGGTGGTCTTTCAGTCTCCCAGTGCAAGTTGGATAAATCTAGAACCTACCTAGAAGTCTCTGAACTTTAATTGGGGGCTCACATGGGTACAGAGGTTCAACCATGTGCATCCCTTTGCAGAATTGAGGCCTATGGGAGAATTTGCTATTAAGACCTGAACAATGCTCTTAATAGCTATAATTTGCAGCAGACAGTGTCTCCTGGCAAATGTGGGATGGTGCAGATCTTCCTTCATGGCACACAAGTGCATGAAGAACTATTTTTTATGGACACGTTGCTTTGATTTCCCTGCAGAAAAGTACTTGTTATACGAACCTTTTAGAGATGCACAAATCCGCTTAGAAACAAACAACTGTCTCCCTTTTTTTTAACAAGAAAATAGCAAAAATGAGTTCTGCAAGTTTTTCTTGACTAAAGATCATTTTAGTTGTTAGGTATTTCTAAATCCCTCAAAAAAAAAAAAGAAGACAACAGCATAAAAATGGAGCTGCTGACATATCCTCAGCAACAGAAGAATTTCAGGATCCATCTAGAAATATCTGTGAAGTGTTTAAATTGAATGATCATTAATCCAACAATATTTTGTCAGTTGTGAATAACTTGCTAGAATAAATAATTTAATTCCAATATGCTACAGTACTGCATACTTGATTAACATATTAATTAGTGAAAACTGACTGGAAGGAAAGATACTTAATTTGTGGCACACATTTACAATTTTGCTTTTTTAGAGGCAATAATTGTCTTGAATTGAAGAAAGAAACCGAAATTAAAATTCAGACGTTAACGTCAGATCACAAATCTAAGGTAAGAAAATGTGTCAGTTTTAACGCACATGACATCTGAAAGAGTTCTTTTGAGACCTAAATTGGAGTTTATTCTTTCGGGAAGCATATGACTGTTTTTCTTCAATAATGATATATAAATGAGAATAGGATTAATAGCCTGTCTCAAAGATTTGGGGTATTTTTGCTTAAAAATTCATTTTCTGACCTTTTAAGAATTTAAGAAAATATTCCCTGCATCATAAATCAAGCGTTATTTGTAGCAGTTTCACTTACAGGAGGGGAAAATGTGCTGTATAATCAGGATGTGAACTTCATCCCCAGAATATGAATGTTAATGAAATTAGCTAACTTTTCTGTTTTACCTTAAGGTTATCTCACTTTTACACTCACCAGACATTTGTCTCTCTCTTTGCACTCGCTGGCCCTTTCCTAGGAAGGGAGGAACTCCTTGTGTTGGGTCTGGTACTCCCCTAGAGTGAATCATTTGCTTTGTCCAAAATGTTTTTCTCCAGATAACAGCATCCAAGATCCAGTTGTTTGAAATCAGTTGTTCTTAGGGGGTTGCTCCCTCCACAGATGTAAAACCTTGTCAGCCTGCTTGTTGCCACCAGAACTTTTTTGAGTTTCCAGATATTTGTTCTTTAGGTTTTTTAAAAAAAAACTAACCTTCTCTCAGCACCTTGTTCTACTGCGTCATGCTCTTCTTTTGGAAGGATTTTTCTGGTGTCACCTGAACTGCCTGAGGCTTGTGGCAGATGTCAGTGTTGGAGGGGTAGCACGTATACTGGAGGACAAATCCAAGTGCAAAAGCACCTGGTGAGATTAGAGTACAAAAGATTACACAGGAGGTAGAATTTTCCAAAAAGACCAGTATTTGTCTGACTCTGCTCCCACTAAAATCCAGGGTAAAATTTCTAGTGGATACCACGAGCCAGCTTAAATCTATGCTGAGTGCTTTTGAAAATTGCATCTGAAAAGGGTGGCTGCCTCATAGTTACTTTTATTTGTGCACCTGATCATATTCCTGCTAAGACCTATTCTCAGTGTATTTTGGTGCTGAAGTAAGTGTTTTAGCTGAAGAAAGCCAAATTCCGTGTTGCTCTGTCTGTTTCTGCAACACCAAATCATGCCCATGTTCATACAGGACATATGTTTAATTATAATGAAATGTGTGCCCAATTTTTAGGTAGATTATCTACAGCCCAAGCTTGAAATTGACAGGAGGCCTTTTTGTCGTCACCTAGGAATCCAGTTCCTGACACACAATGCTTCCATTGTTTACTTGGACCTTTGATGTAGACTCCAAACATGAGTTATCATTCAACATGCTCTGGTCCTTAGAAGGTCTCTCTCATATTCAGAGTCCTGCTCTTCTTTCACCCTTTGTAAAGAGCCTGTTTAACTAATTGCATCCTGCTATAGATCACCTACTTAAAATCAAAGTCTCAATTATGTGCTTTAGGATGACAATCTTGTTTTGAGAGACAGGATTAACTTCCGTAGAAGATTACCCAAAAGCTATTAGTTTCCATAGTAGCACCTGAAAAAAATGGCTATCTGAAAATGGATGGGATTTTTTGTAAGGCACTCTGTATGTACCATTAATGGAAAAGCAGGGTAGTTTGTCAAAAGAGCATAGATAATTATTAAGTGATAATAAAATAAATCTTTCTATTAGCTTCTTGTCTAAATCATTGAATGCAGTATACTATTATAATGATAACTCTGGTGATTTAGACTTCTTCACATTGTCTCTTGGGAACTTTCTAAAACTTTAATCTCATTATTCTTGTGAATCTTGTGAACTAAGCAAGAAAAAAATACTTGTCAGATTCTGTGCTGACTTAATGAGCATAAGATAAAGATAGACATAGCCTATCCACCAATTCAGGATGTATTAAATATAGGATTTCTTTGTAAACTGGCTGTGTATATCAGACTCCCTCCACAAACTCTAAGCTAGTATTTAAGCCCTTAGAGCTTTTCTACATCCCTAATTCTTTGTGATGTTTATAATATATTATGGCAGCCAGGAAAGCATGGCCAATTAGTAAATCATATGTTAAAGGAGGTTTCGTAGTACAAATGCAAGCATAAATCAGTTGTTTTAGACAGCTGACTTTGTGTACTGCAGAGGGTTTGTTTTACTGTTTCACATCCGGTTTATATAGTACACCATAGTTACCTCAGCGGTTTCATGTCAATTTAGTTTTATGTCATTTTACTTAGCATAGCTTGGTTGATTTTTGTAATTAACTTTAAAATGCCTTCACCCATATTAATGTTTAAACTTGTGCCATAGTTGTGAGAAACACTAACAAAATAGTCCTTGTTCCATCTCTACAGGTAAAAGAAATTGTGGCACAACAAACTAAAGAGTGGTCAGAAATGATCAACACGCACAGTGCCGAAGAGCAGGAAATTCGTGATTTACATTTGAACCAGCAGTGTGAGCTACTGAAAAAACTGCTGGTGAATGCTCATGAGCAACAAACCCAGCAGCTAAAGCTATCTCATGACAGGTAAGAAGTTCACTACCACCAGTGCAGCACTTTTGCATGGATGACAGGGTTATTTTTGTAGCAAAGCAAGTTATCAAGTGAGGGATTTAGAGATAAATGGGTAGATCCCTCATGTGATGTAAATTATCATATGTTCATTGAATGCAAAGGAGCTGTGATAATTTACTGCCAAGGATCTGCCCTTCCATGCATGTTAGCCAAGGCAACCGAACACAAGGACCCACACCTGAGACAACAAACTTCCATTGTTACTAGGCCTGTGCAAAGCAGCAAGTATTCAATTTGGATTTGACAGATTTGGAGGGACAGTGATTCAATTTGGTGATTTGAGTCACTGTCCTGATTCGATTCGGCTGAATCAGATTTGGAGATTCAGCAGTGATTCAGAGATTTGGCCATAGGCTATAATGGGGAATCACTAAAATACCTATAACTGTCATTTCTTTGCTGATTCAGATGAAAACAGCTAAAGCTATGGTAGCCCCTTCTGAGGGCATGAAGTCTGCCAAGTTTCAAGGAGATAGGTGCAGGGGTTTCTGTGAAAGTGCCCCTCAAACTGTTGAAATCAAAACTCCATATCACTTGTGTGCGTTAAGGGATGTACGCTGTAGCCGTGTTAGTCTAAGGATATAGGCAGACAAGGTTCTTTGGGTCAATATGATATCTTTTATTAGACCAACTGAATAGTTGGAGAAATGTGTCTTATCAAGCTTTCAGGTTTAAAAACCCTTCATCAGGCTGAGGAAGCATCTGCAGTTGATGTGTGCGCTCTTCCTGGATGAAAAGAATAATAAAGAAGCCAGAGGCTAGTATGTAGGCAAGAAAGCCAGTAAGTGAAAATGTAAATTGAGGAATCGGGGTGAGAGACAGGCTGGGTGGGGGGAGGGGAAAGGGGGATGTAGCAGATAAAAATGAAGAGGTACCTGGAGAGACAGATGGCAGGCAGGTTATAGTGTGTCAGAAATCCAATGCCTATATTGAGTCCATGAGTTTTTGTATCTAGGAGGTTGATGAAGTGAAGTTCATAAGCTTATCTGTGAAAATTGTTTTGTAAATTCAAACAAGCACCAAACCTTGCTAACTTCATCACCAGAAGCAAACTTCCTACAGCCCAAAATGTGAATCCAGACCATGCCATGACAAGAAATGCAAAACCTACCAACATATCTCCAGTATCCCCACAATTACTACATCCCACAATAGAGCCATCATCATTCCTGGATCTTACAGCTGCACCTCCAGAAATGTTATATATCTCATCCAGTGCACCAAATACCCTGTTGGAAAATACGTAGGAGACCACACAACAACTGTGCACCAGAATGAATGCACACTGGACGTCTATTAAGGACAAGAATACCCAATTACCAGTGCAGGCACATTTTTCACATGAAAACCACACCCTCTGAAATCTCTCAGTTCTGATCCTCAAAGGGAATTTACAAAACACCTTTTGTAGACAAGCCTACAAACTTCACTTCATATATCTACTGGATATAAAAAATCATGGACTCAATATAGACATTTCATTTATGACACACTATAACCTACCTAACATCTCCAGGTACCTCTCTACTTCTAGCTGTTACATCCCCCTTTTTTCTCCCCACCCCCACCAGCCTGTCTCTCACCCCCTGATGCCTCAATTTACATTTTTCACTAACTGGCTTTCTTCCCAGCAGCCCAGCCTCTGGCTTCTTTACTATTCATTCCATCCAGGAAGAGCACACACACCAACTGCAGATGCTTCCTCAGACTGATGAAGGGTTTTTAAACCCAAAAGCTTGCTAAGATATATTTCTCCAACTATTCAGTTGATCTAATAAAAGGTATCGGATTGACCCAAAGAACCTTGTCTGCCTTGTGCATGTTAAGGCAGAGCAGGATGAATGCAGCAGGGATGTTAGCCTGTAACAGAGGACATTCCCAGTGCCGGTTAGAACTCAGCCCGCCCACCTGTTTCTGGGCCAGCCACCCAGCCCTCTTTTCCTGCCACACCTTGATGGAAAACTGATTAAGATGTTACCCAGGCAGGAAGCTGCCCATTTAGGGCCCTGATGTCTAGGAGTGACATCCATTCTGCAGCTCTGTACCTGCCCTACACTGCAGCCTATGCCTCGCAGATTGCATCCTTCACCCTGTCCAGCTGTGGTCCCCTCCCTGGGACCTTTGGCTCCCCCTGAACACCTTCTTGCTTGGAACACTGGTCGGTGGACAGGACAGGTGTTCCCAGGCAACCATGGCCAGATCCTGCCACACCTGGCTGTGGGTTGCCCAATAGGCCAGGGGGTCACAGTGTAGTGGCTCCACGTTCTTGGCGAGATAGGTAGCCACCAAGACCTCCATGCTACCAGCCAGATGGTGGGGTCTGCTGCCTCTGAACCCCAACATTGAAACCATGCCCTTGGCCCACATTGCCAATGGCTATGGTGGAGGAGATTGGCTGGTGCTTGGAGTGCTGGCACAGGAAAGTGGATCCCCCTCTTCCACATTCCCCTGCCTCTGCCTCCCTGACTCTGTTCACCAGCACCTCCATCCAGTAATCAAGGGTTTTGCTGCTGCAGATGCTCCCCTTCACCCTTGGGTCACACATGCCCACCAGCACGTGCACCATACTGGACCGCAACAGATCCAGCCATTTCTTGGTGCCCTCCTTCAGCTGCTTATGGGGGTCGCCTGGTTATGGTGGGCATCGCCTACACTGAGAATCTTGGTGGCCTCAAGGAATGGCTTGAGGACCACCAAGATCTGGGAGATGGTATCCCACTCAACTCTGTTAAGAGGGACATTGATCCCGATCTCCCTGACCAAGGCCATCTCATGCATGGTCTTCTGTTGCTCAACCAACTTTTCGAGCATCAGGTATGTGGAGTTCCACTGAGTCTCCACATCCTGCATAATTTTGTGCTGCGGGATGCTCAGCTCTGCTTGCTTGTCCAACAGCATCTTGCCCCCCTTGATGTTCCGGTGGAAGTAGCCCACCACCTTGCTGCATTTCAAAATGAGCTGGCTTGTAGTGGTAGTGACAGCACCACACTGGGAGCCCTGTTCCCCTCCAAGGCATCCCTGACTATGAGGTAGAACTTGTGTGCCATACAGCAGATGCCAACAAAGTTGGCATCACACACTGCCTTCACCATATTGGCCCTGTTGTCAGTAACCATGAACCCCTAGGTGAGCTGACCCTGCACAGCGAGCCACTCCTGCACCATGTGATTCATGGCCACTGTGATCTCCTTTGCTGTGTGTGACCATCCATCACCTCTGCTTGAAGGAGAGCCCATTGATGCCCTGACTGATCGCAACAGTGCCCTGTGAGAGAGAGGTAGGCATGATCTCCACCCAGGCTGCTCCAGATGTCTGAGGTGAAGTGCAAGGCTACCTGCAGCCCTGCCTTCTGCAGCTCCTCAAGTACTTCCTGCATGCCTCATACAGAGAGAGCACCACCGTTCTGCTAAAGGTGGTGCATGAGGGCACTTGGTAGGATGGGGCCATGAGCGCTATGAGCCACCTGAACCCTGAACACTCAACACAGGAGAAGGGCTGGCCAACCAGAGCAAGCATCTCCCCAATGCTCTGGGTGACCTCACATGCCTTGGGAACATACCCTGCTTTGCCTCCGCCTTCTCCCCACTGGTTCAGGGTGACCTGCTTCTGCTTCTTGGGGATGGGGGCTTTGGAGCAAGAGGGGGACTTCTTTTTGAGCACACTCCCACTGGTGCAAGGCTGAGGAGGAGCAAGGACAAGGGGGTAGTGTCTCCTGAAATGTAGCAGCATCATTGTGGTGGTGACATGTTTCTCATCCTTGCCCCAGCTGGTCTGCTTTCTCCTCCTCACCAAGCAAAGACACAACAACAGGAGGAGCTGAGCCACCTGCCCCCACAACATCCTCCCAAGTGCCTTTCAGAAGAGACCTGCCTTTAGGGAAACATTGAGGGGTGCGGAGCACAAATTCAGATTCCCCCTCCTTCCCCAGAATTTCCTTTGCTATAGCACTTAGCTCCGCTGCTTCCAGATCCAGCTCCTCTTTTGGCACTGGAAGGGTCATGCTGGGAACTGAAATTGGGGTGGAGACTGTCATGCTGGTGCTGATGGTTATTACTGGTGTTAGTGAAGGTGGTGCAGGTGCAGACACTGCTCTCACCTCCTTGCTCCCACTAGCAGCAGATGACTCATTGCTGCTAGGAAAGAAGGTGTGTCTATGTTTGGG